CAAAAAAAGCATCCAACCAAAGGGAAAATAAATATTTGGCCATTTGGCGGCAGCCAAAAAAGTTGAAAAATCCCCTCTGAAAAAATAGCGCCACATTTTCTCAAACCCGCCAGTTAGATGCCATAAAAGCTCAACTCATCGAACAATTTGATTACACTGCCATTAGCCATTTACACACAGGGCTTGCTAGGGTTAGGACGCGTTGCTTGAGAAAAAAAACATCAAAATGGTGGTGGCTGCTCATCTGGAATCAATGGCGTCGGAGGATGGTAAATTCTTCTTTTCTCTTGCTAGCCCTTTTGATATCATCGGCACGTTGCCCATGCAAATGCAAACCGCTATACATTGTTCGATTTACAAATGCTGGTGCTTTGTTTGAAATTACAAATGCTGGTGTTTTAATTTAGGCATTCATATTTGGGGCTTCACTTGGTTGATCATTTTGTTCTTTATGGACATCGAAAAATGGAAGTGCCGGGTTTGTGTGTAAAAACTGAACCTGGATTCTGATAATCAGCCTGGATTGTTATCTAGATCTTCCGGTTATTAGACGGCCAAATCCCACTAGAAAATTAGAATTTTATGAGGTTTGGTGCGTGGATTGTATCAGCTTATTCGGAATTGATTGGTTGATCGAATAATTGAAGTGTTATCCAGAGTTGCTCTGCTGTTGTTTGTCTTAAGGTTTGTGTGCATGCCTATGTGTGAATTAAATTACTGGCGGTTTTAAATCTGATCTTGAATTAGTTGATTATCTATTGTTTAATTTAGTACTTTTTTTTTTCAGTGATTTATGACTGTCGATATTTTCCTTACATAGGTCTAAATTGAAAGTTATTAAAATCAAACTAAAAAAACCTAAATAGAAATGTGAAGTTTTATGTGTTCAGTTATCAAATATCAATAGACATAGGTTTTTCAAATTATTAGTGTGTTTGTATGCTCATGCATTATATAGAAAGGGAGTCACCAGAAGCAATTTTTAGGCCATTCATAGAAAGATATGCATCTGTACTTTGCATGCATATATTTGTATGTACTTGCTAGCAGAAGCTGGATTCATGGAATGTTTGTTGAGCTGGACTTTTTGAAGCTCTCAACTTTTTGAAGTTTTTTATTTTGTTTGTGTCCGTTACAGACCGTTGTATTCTTTGGAGTTTGGAATGTTCTATTTTATCACATTTCTGTGGGCCATATTTCATTGTATGCATCAAAACAACTCTAGCCCCTTGGCTACCTGCTCAACACTATATGGATCAATACTTGAAGCATTAAATACATAAAAGCAAAGTATGCGTATACTAACTACTGGTCACTTTTGGCATGCAAATCGGGCAACCCAAATGGTGACATTTACATTACCCAAATGGAACTGGATGTCATATATGGTTTTCAATTGAAACTTTATAAAGCCATAAACAAAATTGCCACAACTACAGTACATTTGATTATAAGATCTATACTTAGCTAGTAATAAAAAAGAACTATTTCATTTATGAGACGAAGGTCTGAGCTTGCATATTTTCTACATTTGAGCATTAGAGGTGTAAATTGTATAGTTGATGTGATCCCATCATTCATAAATATATTTGAATTGGTTTAGAATGGTCCGAAGCTATAAGCTTCATGCATGTGTCCACATATTTCGAGCTTGTCCAGACATTTATAGAATATAATTTCACATCCTCTACGTATTGTACTTCTTTAATTATTACTAGTTAAGTGTTTTATTGTGGATGCCAGTAATCTTTTCCAAATAATACCTTTCTCTAACACTAACTATTTGCCAATTCTCAGTTTCCATCATATTTATGTTTTGTAGTCTTATAACCTCCTTTTTGAATACCCGTTGCCTGTTTCCTTCAGATGACAATGTAACATATCATGTCTGTTTTTGAGCTTCCACTATTATATTTTTAAAGGGATTACTATCCAAAATCACTGAATTGATTTGTTTGTTATTTTGTTCATTTATATGCTGGATATCAACATTTCCTTCACTCAATCTGACATGTTGCATTTGTTATAGGGACGAAAAGTAGCAAAAATAAAATAGTTCCTGCATCTAAGAAAAAAATGGCAACTGACAAAAAACAACGAAAGAGGTCTGCTTCTCAGATTGCTGAGAACCCTGCCGTTTCTCGTAAATTGCCCAAGCGTGCTGCGGCGTGTTTGGATTTCAAGGAGAAGTCTTGTCGTATATCTGAAAAAGGTTCAGTTCTCGAAACAAAAAAAGATCAAGTCGTTGAAGAAGAACTCATTGCTGTTCGTCTGACTGCTGAACAAGAGGATGGTCGCCCATGCAGGCGGCTCACTGATTTCATCTTCTATAATTCAGAAGGAGTTGCGCAGCCTTTTGAAATGCTTGAAGCGGATGATATCTTTATCACTGGACTCATCTTACCGCTTGAGGAAAGTTCTGACAAGGAGAAAGCGAAAGGAATTAGATGTGAAGGATTTGGTCGAGTCGAGGAATGGGCCATATCTGGTTATGAAGAGGGAACCCCAGTGATATGGGTTTCAACAGAGTTGGCTGATTATGATTGCTTGAAACCCTCTGGAAGCTACAAGAAGTTCTATGACCATTTTTATGCAAAAGCTAGTGCCTGTGTTGAGGTTTATAAGATACTGTCCAAGCCATCTGGAGGTGACCTATGCGTTGATGAGCTGTTTGCTGTGCTTGTGCGTGCAATGAGCGGGATGAAGTGCTTCTCGAGTGGTCTATCTATCAGGGATTTTATTGTTTCCCAGGGTGATTTCATCTATAACCAGCTTATAGGTTTGGACGAGACCTCGAAGAATGATATGCAATTTGCTGAGCTGCCCGTTCTTGCTGCCCTTAGAGATGAAAGCAGCAAGTTGGATATTGATAAACCTCTGCCTGATACTCTTTCAGGTAACCTGAGAATAGGTCCAAAATGTGGCGACGAAAATGCGACTTGTCCAGCAGAAGAAGATGAAAATTTGAAAATGGCGAGGGTGTTGCAGGAAGAAGAACGTTGGCGCTCTATGAAGCAGAAGAAAGGCCGTGGCTCAAACTCCTCGTCCAGCAAATACTACATCAAGATCAATGAGGATGAAATTGCCAATGACTATCCCCTACCTGCCTATTATACAACGTCAAATGAAGAAACTGATGAGTATATAATATTTGATGGTGGCGTAGATGTGCTGAACATTGAGGACTTGCCCCGGAGCATGTTGCACGACTGGGCTTTGTACAATTCGGATTCTCGATTGGTCCCATTGGAGCTCCTTCCCCTGAAACCTTGTGATGAGATTGATGTGACCATATTTGGCTCGGGTGTAATGAGTGCTGATGATGGATCTGGATACATCTGTGATGGCGATTCTGCTTACTCTTCAAGTGGTTCTGATGCTCCTGCTGTTGAAGGGATCCCAATTTTCTTGAGTGCAATCAAAGAATGGGTGATTGAATTTGGGTCCGCAATGATTTCGATTTCTATACGGACTGATATGGCCTGGTATGTTGCTTTTACCTCTGTTTGTGTTTCCATGCAAAAAAAAAATAAAAAATTAATGCTCTCTATTCAAACTCTTTTACTTCTTCTATTTATGTCATCATTTACTGAGAATTATATGGAAACAAAGTTGGACTGAAGATGGTTTTGTGTTCTGGAATATAATTACGTGCTGGAAGCAGTTGCAGAAAGCTTATACTGTAATATTCTATGTACCGGCAAAAAATTTGAATCATAGTAGATTGTACGAGAGCTGTATCAATTCGTTGTGCTTAGCCAGTGATTGCTATGTACTTCCAGGTTCACTTTGCCTGGAGATATATAAAGCTTTTTCCATGCACTAGGAAGATGCACGTGCTACGCACGTGGTATTTTTTTTTAAGTTACTTTTAGTATTAGGTTTATATTTAAAAGTATAATATAATTTTCTTTCATTTAGTTTAACAAAAAATGGTGTATTCTATTGAATAATGAAATATAGTATTTAATACTATTATCTGAACTCTATGATAAATAAAATTAAAAAAAAAAACATTGGGTTGAAAACCAAAAATAAAATTATTATTTTTTTAGTGAAAATGTAAATGCTAAAAAAATTTATAGTCTTTGATTTTGTTATTTAATGATATCTTCATTGTGCTTAAAATAATAATCACTATTATTGTCT